ATAGTAACAGGAGTAGGACATTTGGCCCCTCAAGCCTATCCCATCATTGAACAAGATCATGGATGATCTGCCCCAGGCCTCAGCTTCTCTTTTGGCTGCTCATGGACTTCAATTCCCCGTTGTTTTAAAACTCTATTGACCTCTTCTTAACTAACTTCGGAGGTTCCTGGATGAACGAGTCGTCCCTCAGGATTGGAAAACAGTCACTCCACTATTTAAGGAGGGCTCAACAGGAAATTCAGGGAATTACAGGCCAGTTCCCCTGTGTTGGGGGAATTTACTGAAATTTATAATCAAGAACACCTCGAAAATTTTCAGTTCCTCAGGGAGAGCCAGTGATGGGTAGGTCATGCCTGAAGATCTCATTGAAATTTTTGAAGGAGGTGTCTGAGGAAGTGAATAGGGAAAAGTCTACAGTATCTATTGGGTCTTTAACTCTGGTCAGTTGCTGTCTTAGTGTCCCTGTTGGTTTGTGCGCTGTTCTGACTGTTAGTGGTCTGAGTAGTCTGGCTGTCAGTCTTGAGGTGTTTTATTATATACGGTATGGTGGTTATTGTTTCGGGTTTTGGTGTGTCTCAGAACTGACAGCCAGACTACTCAGATAACAAGGTGTAGAGCTGGATGAACACAGCAGGCCAAGCAGCATCAGAGGAGCAGGAAGGCTGACGTTTCTGGCCTAGACCCTTCTTCAGAAAGGTCTGCTGTGTTCATCCAGCTCTACACCTTGTTCTCTCAGATTCTCCAGCATCTGCAGTTCCTACTATCTCTGAAACGGTTTTTAAAAGTGTTTGTGTTTTGCTGAAGGAATGTGTCTGTTAGTTTGCATCAAGCCATCTAACTCTGCAGTATTGGGCAGAACAGTCACAGTAACTGTGGAAAAACTAAGGTTTTGTTTAAAACAGACCCATTGAATTAGATTTATTAATGTGGACTATTTATCAGCAAAATTTGTGATTGAGAGAAGGGAGAAAAGAAGAATGTGAAAAGCAGGAAGAGACAAGGGAGAGAAAAACACAATGAGAGGCTGCAAGAGAGAGAGAGATGGAGTCAGAGACAGACAAAGAGAGACAGGAAGACAGAGAGGCTGCCATAGACAGTGTGTGAGAGAGAGAGGGGCAGGGAAAGAGAGGAGACAGAGACAAAAGGCGAGAGAAAGACAGAGAGATTGCCAGAGTCAGAGAGGGAAAGGGAGCGATAAAGAAAAAAAGGGGAAACGTAAAGAGTGAGGGGGCAAGGTTGAGAGAGTCAGAGTGTGGGGTTACAGAGTGAGAGAGGTTAGAGTGCGGGTTCTAAGAAGAGTCAGAATGTGTGTTATAGAGATACAGCGAGAAGGGGCACTGTAGAGAGAGAGGAGGTCAGAGTGTGGGTTATAGGGAGAGAGAGGATCAGAATGTGGGTCTTGGAGGGACAGAGAGAGACAGAGGGTGGGTTTTAGAGAGAGAAAGAGGGTCAGACTGTGGGTTATAGAGAGAGAAAACACAGTGAGGGAGGGTAGATAGAGAGAGAGATGCACGGAGTGAGGGAAGTTAGACACACAGAGAGTGAGTGAGGGGTTAGATAAAGAGATAGACTCTGTTGGGTGGGTTGGGGGTGGGGTGAATGTTGGTGCTGACACAGAGTGACGTTGACAGTGAGAGTCAATTTCTGCCCCGGCTGAGGTTACCATGAAAGTCCCACCCTCTCAATCTCTCCCTTCCCCTGAGGGACGGTGACCCTCGCGTTAAACTACAGCCAGTCGCCTCTGATGTCAAAGTAACCCCACTGGGTTTTATAAAGACTTTACCTTTATCTGCCACACACACACACGGTCCCCTCACCAGTAACAGCCTCTTTCTACTGGACTCTTTGTGTATCACATAGACACACAGGAAAACACACACACTTGTTCACTATTAATATTCTTCCCTCTGCTAAACTCTATCCATTTCCCAAAAATAAAACAATGAGCTGCGGATGGTGGAGATCTGAAACAAAAAGCAGAAATTGCTGGACATACTCAGCTGGTCTGGCAGCATCTGTGGGAAGAAAGCAGAACTAAAGTTTCGAGTCCAGGGTCTCTTCTTCTGAACTGTTAACAGCTCGGGAAAAGTGGCACTTGTGCTGAAGCTGAAGTTGGGGGGAGGGGTGTGAAAGGAGAGGTGAGCGGGTATGTGGAGATGGAGCGCAGAGAGAGTTATGAAAAGGGCAGGTAAACAAGGAGTTTATGAATAGCAGGTCAAAACAGAAGAAAAGCTGAACGTGAGGGGGTAGATAGAGCTACACACAGATGAGGGCGGTGGTTAGCGAGAGAAAGAGACACCTGCAGGGGGAAGAGGGTGGGTTAGGTAGAGAGACAGTGCTCTTTCTGTTACTGATGCGATGGTCATTGCGTCTGTCCGAGAGGACAGACGCAAAGTATTTGCAACGAAAACAGAAATTGCTGGAGAAACTCAGCAGGTCTGGCAGCATCTGTGGAGAGAAGGCAGAGCTAACATTTGAGTCCAATGAATCTTCGTCAGTTTGTTTCAGATCTTCAGCATCCGCAATTATTTGTTTTGTTAAATAATTAGCACACTGCCCCCGTCCTTATTTGTCATTCCCCCAGCCCTTACAGTCTTCAGGACAAACTAACATTTTTTTTATATACACGTGTAGAAATTTTTGTTAATGTGGTTGTCGTTAAATATTTTTGCCGATATACCCTTAGACTTCATTTCCATGTTTCTTGTTATTCTAACGAAACAAATCTTCTGGATCACAGCTCATGTTTGCTGAATTGTGAACATTTCTATCAATCCCATATGATCCATAACTTCTTTCGTTGGCTTAAGTTCCGGACAGTAATTCTCTCTGTCTGTCCCCTTCAATAAAACATGCCTTTTGTTGAGAATAGCTGAAATATCTGTGGGAATATGACCCCATGTTTTATTATCAGCCAGCATCGCTATCCAAGTCCGTTTCCATTCCGCTTGTCAAATCCTTTGTTTCACTCGAATAAGTTCCTTCCAGCCTCCTTTCTGTCTCATTATCAAACTGACGGTGAAATTCCTATGCTGCTTATGTGTTAGAAGACGTGGAGATTTGATTGCAAAATGCATCGCCTCATTTTCACCAATTGGATATAACATAATGTTTCACATTTGCAAGCAAATGCAGACATTATAATTTGAAAAAATATTTTTAAAAATGAGAGGCGCTATTAATTGAAGATTGTGGTCGTAATGACATATAGCAGAAGTTGAATTCTATCCTCTGATTCCAGTCAATAGTTCTTATACTGAGTAAAATGTTTAAGGTTCGCTCACTGTCCTTGGAACTAAGCCACAACGTACAGCGTTACTCTCTGAAGTTAAATGAATTCTCGCCAGTGACCCGCTATTCCACAGGGTACGAGAATTCATTGCTTTCCCTCCATTAGCTTCTGCCGAAGTGATTCCTTTAATGCCCTTCTTCATGAGTTTGAATTGCAAAGTCAAGAGGCGGGGTGGGTCATTTATCTGATAGCCCCCACATCAGAAAACGAGTAGACGGCTGCTATGTGTTCAAGGCCAGAAATCAGACAACACGAGGGTTATAATCCAACTGGTCACAAGCTTTTGGAGCGCACCAAGCATTAACCAAACTGGCTATATCCAAACACACCATTGAAAACCAAATGGTCAGCTCAAAAAGAAGGAATCTCACTGAACTCTACCCCACTTGCATTCAATGTGACACTGAGATTTCATTTGATCCCTGGTAAAAAATACAATTTTAATTCCACAGTTATCCTTCATTATGGAAAACCACACAAATAACTATGTTTTACTTTATTTTTCTGTATATGAAGGAGGCGCCGGAGATTGGCAACACCAGACAACAATTTTCAGTGTATTTTTTGTAATAAGATACACATGACAATAAATGAGCAAATGGATCGAATCAAAACCTGGACTGGAATTCCGCAGACTTCCAGTTATTTCAGTAGAAAGAGCCATCGCCATTTTACGTCTCACACCACTTTATACTGACCTTATCCAGTAAAGACATTAAATTTCAAACCTGCATTCAGTGTAAAAACCCTGGTCATCAGCTGGAGGCAGACCACACAACCTTCATACAATTCCAATTCAAAGACGAAGAATTGGAATTGTATGA